TTCATTAAAAATTATACATTTATGGTTTCTTCATGTCTTTTTATGGCTTTATAGCTCATTTCTTTTTATTGCTGAATAATATTCAATTATATGGATTAACATTGTTTATTCACGTCCCTATTGAAGGACATCGTGGTCGTATCTACTTTTGGCAGTTACAAACATTTGGCTGTTACAGACATTCGCTTTCAAGTTTTTCCCTGCTCATAGTTTTCAGATCACTTATGACTGAGCATTTTCACTATAGAATGTCCAACCAAAAGAAACGGGTGAATACATGCACCATGAAACATGTGTGAAAATGTTTATAGCAGCATTATTATTAATAACCGAACACTGAAAACAACCAATCAGTCAGTAAAATGGATAGATTATTTTAGGTGTATTCCACAATGGAGCAGTGAATATAGCACTGAAAATACTGCTGTAACCCATGTCATGGATGACAGCTCTCACAGACGGGTGATATGCCTGGCCCAAAACGGCACATACTCTCTGAATTTATTTACAGAAAGTTCAGCAAAAGACAGCGTTCTTTGTGATAGACATCAGAGTAGCGGTTATCTCTTTGTGGAGCGTGAGCACCGAGGCATCTGAGCGGCCCCTGTGCTGACGTCTTGCACTGGCTCATGGCGTGGCTTCCCGTGGTGAAAAGTCCGCTTGCCGTACCGGAGACACAAGCTTGGTCCCTGGGTGCAGAAGATGCCCTGAGAAGGAACAGCCCACTCTAGTGTTCTTGCCTGGGAAACCCCATGGGCGGCGCAGGCTCTCACGCACAGGGTCACAAGGGTTGGGCCAACTTGGTGACTAAATCACCACCACCACCACTGGTTCATGGCTGTTTTCAAGTAACAAATTATCAAAATATATGTTTAAGATTTGTGCATTTTGTATATATATTTCAAGAAGAATTTTATGAAGTAAAATGTGTTGCTCCTTTTTCCATAGGAATTAAACTTTGGACTCTATAAATAGTTGCTGATTACTAATCCTTTCTAATTTTTGACTCCTATAGGATTTCACACAAAGTTTGTATGTAAAATTCTAACATTTCTTATTCTATCTATTGGTTATATAATTGAAAGCTCATCAGATATTTTATAATTTCCTAGTACTTAACTTGCTGAAAATATTGTCTGTATTTCCTAACAAAATACTGCCCTTTCACAGCCTTCCTCTAAATTCCCAGCGTGCCATTTCTCTTGGAGTGTTTGGTTTTGGAACTGAGATGTCTGTGCTTTTTGCTGCTTCTCGTTTCCTGCAGATAGTGCTGTACTTGATCACAGTGTTTGCTTCTCTGGGAGTTTGCTTGGAGCTCCTCCGCCCCTGCTGTTTCCACAGCTACCACTCAGGCTCAGGCCATTGTTGCCTCACTCCAGGTCCTTCCAGTGGCCTGCTGGCCGCTCCCCCGTCCTCCTCTTGTTCCGTGTCCCACAGGCGCAGGTTGTCTTGTTTGCCCGCGACTGAGACCTTGAGTTGCTAACCTAATGCCCACTGTAACTTCTGTCTGCAAGCCATGCCCATTCACAAACTCCAGCCTCCTGTTCCGAGCGCCCCCTCTGAGGCCACAGTGTGGGAACGTATTCTTTGTGCCCAAGGTAATCTGTCTGTTCCTCTCTGATTCTGTAGTCAGTTAAAAAGCCTGGAACCCCCCTTCCCCCCTGTTTGTTACAGCCTGAAAAATATGGCTGGACATCAGCACCTTTTTATCTTTGTAACTTTTGGCCCCATTTTGAGGTTTCCACTATTTTGTGTCCCCTCAGGTCTTTGTATTCATTAGGAAAAAACCAAACATTATTTTGGCCAAATGTTGTTAAGGTGTTTTATATATGTCTGTAGGGTTTCCCCTGACATGAGTTTTAACATTCTTTTTGTTTATTGATACTTTATGTTTGCTTTATTTTGTCTAATCCACAGTGTGTTAAGAAAAAGCTTTTAAAAGTAAACATAGTAAATACAAATAGTAAAGTGAACAACTGTGACCATACATTTTGCTTCTTGAATCAGAGTTTGCACCAGCGTATGCAGAAGTATCTGTCCAGTAAATGCAGATCTTAAAACAGAAGCCAGTTTTCAGTTCTTGTGACACTGGCTGTGTGGCAGGGGTGCCGTTAACAGCACCCTCGCACCAGAAGCCAGGCAGGAGTCGCCAGCCAGGTGTTGCGCAGGCGCCCAGTGCGTGGGGCCTCGAGTCAGGCCCGTCCTGTCTTCATGTTAAGCCTGTCTGTTTTGGCTCCGTTCCGCTGCTGTCTCTCTCATCCCTCTCTCCTGGCCTTTCCCGTGGGCCTGGCTGCCTGCCGTTTCTCCGCCCGAGTCCTCTCGTCGCTTCCTGTCCTGCGCTTCCCTCTGGTGACTGTTCTGTTGGCACAGCCCCGGGGCTCTCTGACCTCGTGTCCTCAGACAGTGCCAACCAGATTGTTTTGGCCCGTTTTGGTCTATTCATTTATTATCTATCGCCTGTGCTAAGCATACAGATTATTTGAATTAATTGCTAAGGGACTCTCAGGGTAAAAGTCTTTGACAATTTGATCTTTGTATGTTGGAATTAGGATGGACATTATACAGAAAATTTATTTCCAAAATCAGTTTGAGCCTGAGAAAATGAGTCGAATCATGTGGTAAAGGGAATGGTTCTAGGGCCTGTTTTCTGTAGACTTAGTTTTTTTAGAGCTGTTTTATTCACAGCAGAATTGAGGAGGAAGGTAGATTCCCATAAGCCCTGTCCCTTCTGCTGACGAGCAGAGCCCACCACCACGGACACCCCCACCAGAGTGCACCGTCACCCAGAGTCCATCTCTTACGTCAGAGTTGGGTCTCACAGTTGTATGTTCTGTGGACTTGGACAAATGCATAATGCCATGGATTGACCTAACGTTATGGTATTAGACATAGTGTTTCCACTGCCCTAAAAATCCCCTGTCTCCGCCTACTCATCTTTCCCCTCGCCCAGCCTTTGGCAGTCGTCTCCAGAAAATCATGTCATTGGAGTCGTACAATATGTAGACTTTTCCATTTGGTTTCTTCTGCTTATTAATATGCACGTAGGTCTCCTCTCTGCCTCCTGATGGTCAGAGCTCATTTCCCCTTAGTGCTGGGCACTGTCCCGTCCTCTGCACGCACTGCAGTTTATCCATTCTTATCCTCAAGGGCGTCTTCGTTGCTTTTTGCCACTTACGAGCACAAAGCTGCTGTAAGCATCCGTGCGTGCAGGTTTTCGTATGGACACAAATTTTTAACTCATTTGGGCAAATACCAAGCAGCATGATTCCTGGATTCTAGGAAAAGAGTGTGTTTTCTAAGAACCTGCTAAGCTGCCTTCCAGGCTGGATGTGCTACCAGTAGTTAGTGAGAGTTCCTTTTGCTCCAAACCCTTGTCAGCATTTGTTGTCAGTGTTCTGATGGGTGCAAAGTGATGTCTCATTGCTGTTTTAATCTGCATTTCCATGCTATATGGTGACATGTAATATGACATCCTCTCCTACGCTTATCATCAGCTGTATATCTTCTCTGGTGGGGTGTCTAAGTCTTTAACACATTTTTAAATTAGGTTTATATTATTGTTGAGTTTTAAGAGTTCTTTGTATGTTTTGGATAACAATCCTTCATCAGATGTGTCTTTTGCAAGTATTTTTTCCCCATTTATGACTTATGTCCTGATTCTCTTAATAAACACTGTCTTTTGTGGAATAGAAAATTTTAATCTTAATAATGTCCAATTTATCAATTATTTCTTTATGCATTGTGCCATGAATATTGTATCTAAAAAGTCCTTGCCAAACTTAAGACAATTTAGGTTTTTCCTATGTTATTTTCTAGGATTTTTGTGGTTTTGCATTTTGCATTTAGGTCTGTGATGTCTTTTGAGTTAGTTTCTAAGATCTGTGTCTAGATTCTTTTTTTGTTTTTTTGCATTGGTTGTCCAGTTGTTCCAGGACCATTTGTTGAAGACAGTGTCTTTGCTCCATTGTGCTGCTTTTGTTCCTCTGTCAAAAACCAGACTGTGTTTATGGGGTTCTCTTTCTGGCCTCTCTGTTCTCTTCCACTGATCTGGTTGTCTTTTCTTTTGACAGGCCACAGGGCTTTGATTACTGTGTCTTATAGTAAGTCTTGAAGTAGGCAGTGTCAGTCTTCCAACTGTGTTCTTCTCTTTCAGTTTTGCATTGGGTATTTTGTTCCTTTTGTCTCTCCATGTAAACTTTTAAGAGCAGTTTATCCATATCCATAAAATAATTTTCTGGGATTTTAATTGGTGTTGCATTAAATCTATAGATCAAATTGGGAATAACCAACATTGCATTACAGAGTCTTCCTATCCATGAACATGGACTATCTCTCCATTTATTTAGTTCTTTGATTTTTCTCATTCTTTCCTCAGAGGTTTGTAGTTTACCACATATAGCTCTTGTACATATTTTGTCAGACTTTTCTGGGAGGGTGCTAATGTAAATAGTGGGCTTCATGGGTCACACTCATGGTAAAGAACCCTCTTGCCAGTGCAGTAGATGTAAGAAATGTGGGTTGAATCCCTGAGTCAGAAAGATCTCCTGGAGAAGGAAATGTCAACCCACTCCAGTAATCTTGCCTAGAGAATCCCATGGACAGAGGAGCCTGGCAGGCTACAGTTCATAGGGTTGCAAGTAGTTGGACATGAGTGAAGCGACTTAGCATGCATGCACTTAAGCTTATACCCGGGATCAGAACGGTGCTGTTCAGCGAAGGAATACCCACTCATTGAACAAATGAGAGGCTAAAAGCGTACAAACATGTTAGCCTGTGTTTCATGGTAGAAAGCGCTCCTTTTTTAAAAATTTTTTTCCTTTTTTTCCTTTTTTTTTAAAAAGACAGTTAATTTAGAGGTTGATTTGGTCTTTATTAGTATGATTTATGGTACATTTTTTTGTATTCTTATCTCTAATCCCTTGCATTTTTCTTGAGGTTACTTAATGATGCAGAATTGCTATAAAGTCAGAGGCTTTCTTAACAATGACCTATTCTTTCAGAACCAGATGATCAAAGAACTGGAGTCCCGTGTCCAGCAGCTGACTGGAGAAGCGGAGAACAGTAATTTACAAAAACAAAAATTAATTCAAGAAAAACTGGAACTGGAGAGATGTTACCAGATAACATGTAATGAATTACAAGAAGTAAAGGCAAGGTATTGTCTGAGGTCAGACAACTCTCAGGTGTGGCTATAAAAAACTGACATTGACTCTGTAAGTTATCTGGTAAAATTAAAAACTTGTGCATCTAACCTTGGAAGGTTTCCATTCTAAATACTGCTGTTTGTTTAATTTTTTAAGTACCATTGAATGTAAGAGGCATACTGTTTAAAAACACTTGATAAAAATATGCTCACTTATTTGATGTATTGAAAGATCATGCATTTGGATTTGACTGGCTGAAAGCTTCCATCTTAGAGGTTGATTCTGAACACATTGGAAGTGCGTTTTATTCTCTGGTTGCTTTTAGGCGCAACACACTGCAGAAAGAGAAAGACCATCTCATCGGTGATTATGAGCAAAACCTGAAACTATTACAAGCCAAGTGTGATGCTGATGTCAACCTTCTGAAAAAGGAACATGGTCTTTCTGCTTCTAAGGTATTGTAGGTGCTGATAGCTATAGCCAGTAAGAGTCGTTATTCCCTTCACTCAGCACAGAACCAGAAGTGCCTGGTGGAAGCTCACTATCTGGCGTGTAAATGAGTCTCCTTTGCTTAATTTAATGCTAAATGTCTAATATATAGCACAACATAAATACTTAATAAATTAAAATCTGCTATAAATTAACCCTTTTAACTAAACTAATTACTAAAGTTTTTGAAAGAGGAAACATAAAACTCCAAGAAGTAGTGTTCAGTTGTTTTAACAACATTTTTGAGTAACTCTATTTGAGTAACTCAAATAACTATACATTGCTATGTTAACAGTTAACTAATTAATAGTATTGTTAACAATGTGCATTTTGAAAATAATACCAGTGATTAGTATTAGTACTGGTATTTTGAGGTCTTGGCTGTGCACTGGTTTTCTTGCCCTCACGCGTGTATGTGAGCCTACATGCTCCCTTAGGGCGCCCGCCCGTTTTGTGCCAGATAACTGAGACTTTACGCAAAGGAGATCCTGTAGCCGTGGTTAGTTACTTCATGTGTCAAGAACTATTAGGTTGGTGCAAACACAATCGTGGTTTCAGACTGTGAATTTTAAATCATTATAACTAGGCTCAAACACATCTTTATTAATCAAAATAGGAACCGTTACAATCAACACATTTTTCTCAACCAGAAATGCTTGTTTACCCGTATTAAAATCAATGCTTAAAATCTCTGAAATCAAAGCATAAAAGCTTTAAAATCAAAGCATAAAAATCAGTGCTTCGGGATTTCATGAACTCTTAGAAAGCATTTTCTGCCTCCTCCTGATTGTGGAAGCATTTTCCCTACAGAAAGTTGTAAAGATGCTTGAAGAAGTGGTAGTCAGTTGGCGAGAGATGAGGCGAAAATGGCAGATGAGGTAAAACTTTATAGCTCAATTCTTTCAACTTTTGAAGCATCGGTTGTGCGATGTGCAGTAAGGCATTGTTGTGGTGAATTGGGCCCGTTCTGACCAGTGCTGGCTGCAGGCATTGCAATTTTCGGTGCATCTCATCAATTTGCTGAGCATATTTCTCAGATGTAATGTTTCGCAGGGATTCAGGAAGCTGTAGTGGATCAAACAGGCAGCAGACCACCAAACAAGAACTTTTTTGAGTGCAAGTTTGGCTGTGGGAAGTGCTTTGAAGCTTCTTCTCGGTCCAACCACTGAGCTGGTCGTCGCCAGTTGTATTAAAATCCACTTTTAATCATACATCACAATCTGATTGAGAAATGGTTCATTGTTGTTGCCCAGAATAAGACAAGACACTTCAGAACTATGACTTTTTTGATTTGTGGTCGGCTCGCGAGGGACCCACTGACCGAGCTTTTCCACCTTTCCAGTTTGTTTCAAATGCCAATGACCATAGAATGATTGACGTTGAATTCTTTGGCAACTTCTTGTGTAGTTGTAAGAGGATCAGCTTCGATGATGGCTCTCAGTTGTCGTTGTCAGCGTCCGATGACCGGCCACCATGCTCTTCGTCTTCAGGACTCTTGCTTCCTTCTTAAGATTTCTTGAACCACCAGTGTGCTGTACGTTTGTGAGCAGCTCCTGGGCCAAATGTGTTGATGGTGCAAGTTGTCTCTGCTGCTTTATAACTCATTTTGAACTCAGATAATAAAATCACTCGAATTTGCTTTTTGTCTAACATCTTTTCTGTAGGTTAAGATAAATATAAAATAAACAGCAAGTAATAAGTCATTAGCAAAAAAAACCCCATAAAATAAAAAATGTGCATTAAAATGATGTATAACATAGCCATCACATTTATTTAGAATGTGTTCCAATATCAAATGGCAAATTGCACCAATGCAAAAAAACTGCAGTTACTTTTGCACCAACCTAATAACTATTCCAATGGATTTGGTTTTTAAATTAATGTTTAAAAAGTTTTCTGTTTACCTATTCTTTTTATATCAGTATTTTCATAACTTTAAATACTATGAATTTAATTTATATTTTCATTTCAAAGATTTTTTAACTTAAATTTTTGTAAAATTCACATTTATAGATGATTTTAATTCTAATTGAAACTTCAGGAAGAAAAAGGGTAAATTTATTAAACTGGAAGTTTGGAGGAATGATAGAAAAATCAAAATTTCATTTTTTATTATTTTCCTGAAATCTCTTTAGGCATCTGGTGTGATTAAAGAGCTAGAACAGAACATCTGTCAATTAAAGCAGCAATTACAGGAATCAGAACTTCAGAGAAAGCAGCAGCTCAAGGTGAGTCCCGTGCTTTTAAACAGAGCAATGGCTAAAAGTCACCCGTCCTTTTCTGGGTGTATATGAATAAGTGAGTGTCAGTTAAAAAGCTCAGAAATGCAGGTAACCATTTCTGATTCTTTTATTGCACTGTATCGTTTCTCATCTTATTTATTTTAACAAAAGTAGATGCTAATGTGATAGAGTAAGAAGAGCAATTTTAACTTGGACAGTCTACTCGTATGAGATTAGTTTGAAAAATAAACCTTATTTAGATATACTATTATTTTAGAATAATTTCCTCTTTAAATTATTGTCTGCCACTCTTTACAGTCTCTCTCTCTCTCCCTTTTTCTCTTTCACTCCTCTTGTGCATACATCTGTCTGTTTTTTCGGCCGCGCCCAGCGGATGCAGCGTCCTGGTTTCCTGACCAGAGGTGGAGCCTGTGTCGCCTGCAGTGGAAGCATGACGTCCCAACCACCAGACGGCCAGGGAATCCCCTCTTTCACTCCTTTTAGACCCTCTCTTTTTCTCTTTTGGTCAAAAAGTACCAAACCCTGATATGTGATATAACACATTATTTTCATGTTGAGTCATTTGATCATTGTTAAGTGGTCTCCTAATTCTAAGGGTCAGAAAGTGTCTCTCTCACTGTAACATAGGTGCTTTTGAGAGTAGTAACATCTTCAGTTAATGGGCATTTTATGGTCTCCAACAGAAAGCTATTCATGTTTCTGTTTGTACTTTAGAAAACTGGACAGGTAGGGCTCACTTACTGGTAGGCAAAACTCAAATAAGTTTGTCATCAAAGAGATTGACTTGTTTCATTAGATTACTAATTTAATGACCCTAGAAGCGATTTTAAGTATAATAAAGATAAATATTTATTATTCACAGGATCAAGAAAATAAGTTTCAAATGGAGAGAAGTCACTTAAAACGCACCTTTGAGAAAAAGGTAATATATTTTGTGGGAAGCTGTAAGCCACTTATATAGCAAAGGAGACAGTTAAGAGTGCATGCTAATTTCTATAAAGCCATGTGTTCTAGACTGTATTTCTAGGTTTATTTCAGTTAGCCAGTAATCAAATTTTGCTTCTTTATTTTTCATGTTTATGAACAGCTTCTTCAGTGTGATTCTTAATTATGTTAACATTAATATACCACTTCTGTGTTTTATTTAATGAGTGAAGAGTATTATTACGTTCACCTCTCATAATAACCCTTTGAAATTATATTTTGTTTTTACCAGTTTAAAAATATGATATAATTGATGAGAGTTATTTTTTCTGTTGTATCATATGTGTAATAAAACTCTAAATAATTAACCAAAGAATATAAAACAATGAAAGAATTGTCACTGCAACTGATTAGTAAAAAAGTTGATTAGTAATTATTTCCTGTCATTTAGAGTAGTGACTGTTTCTGCAGATGCATGTTGGTGTCCTTGTTATCAGTGATAACTGGGTGTCCATGGCCACCCGTTCACACCATCAGTGATAAAGTATAGAGTTCTACAGGGTCTGTGACTTTCGAACTTCTGTTTTGAATTTGTTGTTTGCTCTATAACTGTAGTTGAGATAGCAGAGATTTTGTTGCTGCTTTCTAATTATTTACAGTTCTAACATCCACCAAATTCATCCGCTTGTAGAATACACACACAATGGAAAATGAGAAAAAGGTTACCCCCTCAGCTAATCAGACAGATTGTGTGGCACAAAGTTCTTGAAATGCCGTGAAATCACGTCTGATGTGTGTGTACCGTCCCCTGGGACGTGTGTTCAGCGCCCTCCCAGAGTGTGGTCTTTCTGGGCCCTGGGTGGAGGAGGGGCTGAGGGGACAGGCCGTGCAGCTTGCTCTCCGGGGGCCTCGGGTTTCTTGAGACGCGCATGGACCAAGTGTAATAAGTTTTCCTATTGCTAAAAAATTTTTTCCCCTGCAGTTTTAATACAGCTCAATGCAAGATACTGAATATACTTCATGCCTACAAAATGATATCTGAGCAGGAGGAAGAAATACTGCTTTCTCTGAAATAAGGAATTTTTTTTTTTTTTTTTGGTTTCCACTTTAGAGCTTTGCAGCTTCATAAATATTAATACTTGACTTCCCCAAAGAAGACCATGTACTATCGTAAGCCTCACTGCCCACCGTCTGAGGCATCCACACCTGTGGGTATACCTGTTAGTCCCTTGCTGGTGCCGTGGGCGGGTACCTGGCTCCCCGTCCAACGGGGACCCCTCCCTGGCCTGCTGCTCTGTTACCCTGCTGGCAGCCCTCCTCCTGGGAGGTGGCGTCTGCGCCCCTGTGGGCCCCGGAGCCCTGGTGCCCGGAGGAGGCCACACCGGTTCACAGCATCCAGCTGTGGGCTGGGAGGCATGGAGCTGGAAGACAGTCTCCTGCCACTGTCCTTTCTGGCCGTGCAGCCACTGAGTGAACCTGGGTTTGGGGACCAGCCCCCCACCTGGTGGACACACAAGAAGCCGTGTTAGAGATCGATTCCTCCCCTCCTATTCTGTGTCACTTCAGGGAGCAGACCACAGTCATGTAATCAGGCATCTTGGTAACCACAGCCTTTCCCTGTCTGTGAGCTATCAAGTGCCCTCGCTTTTAAGTAACAGTAACTAGTACAGTTCAGTTCAGTCACTCAGTCGTGTCCGACTCTTTGCGACCCCATGGACTGTAGCACGCCAGGCCTCCCTGTCCATCACCAACTCCTGGAGTTTACTCAAACTCATGTCCATTGAGTCAGTGATGCCATCCAACCATCTCATCCTCTGTCGTCCCCTTCTCCTCCCACCTTCAATCCTTCCCAGCATCAGGGTCTTTTCAAATGAGTATGTGTTTAAAATAACACCTTCTGTAAAGAAAAAGGAGCGTATTTGTTCACACTGTGCATGTTCTAACAGTATTTGTATTGGAAGAAAATGTTGCTCAGTGTGTTGCTTTTTGTTTTACACTCAGTTCCACAATCTGCCCTTTTAAATTGCCCTCTGTTGTTCTCTCTGTATTAAACCTGCGATCTCAGTCCTTGAAGTGCTGCTGCCTTGTGCGCCCTCAGGGAGTATCCCCTCTGCCTCCTCCGAGGGCTGACTCCAGCCTCACCTTGCTCTGGGATGCGTGGCCTGAGCGCAGAGAGGGGTGCACAGGGCGTCTGTCGGTTAGACGGTGTTACAGGTGTGCGCATTCAGTAACTGTGCAAACCGAGGTTCTGAGTGTCTGTTCAGGAGGAGGAAATGCCGTCGGAGTGACATCACTTCCTCCTGCCGACAAGAGAGCAGCACAAGAGCCGCCAGCTGCTTTGAGGTCCGGGGAGCAGTTGCGTCGATGCCCCCTGGTTGGAGCCCACACATTACTGAATGGCCTTTATCGATCTCTGCTGGCTGCTGCCTGCTCCTAAGATCTCTGAACATCAAACAAATAATAGGTAGTAAAACTAAGTGTCATTGTTTGCCCAAGTGTCCTAATCTGTTAAATCAGGAAATGGTTAAGCTAAATGATTTTACGAGCAAGGAAACACCTGCCTCCTACAAATAACCTACTACCTGTTTTCCAAACAGGCATTGGAGAGTTAAAAGATGGTGGTGTTTACTGAAAGAAGTTCACGGGACAGATGTTAAGCATGTCTGCTGTAAACTGCTAGAGCTGAAGCATCTGCTTATGACTGTGACCCATGGCCACTGTGTCGCCATGAGGCCTGATGGAGTTCAAAAGTGTTAGGAATGGTGTTTACATGTATATAATTCTTTTAATTAGGTTAGACTAATGTAAAATTTACATAGTTTTACATATATTGTGGAGTGTTTTCCAACAATTATTGGCCTGGTTTTCTTTAAGAGGTAAGGTGTCTTGAGTGAAGTTTTGCAAAAAATGAAATTGCACAGTGAAATGATTGATAGAAATCATGGCGCCCAAGGTCCCGAGTTTGTCCCATGGAGAGGCAGAGGTGGACAGGGTGGTTAGGAAGTACGGTGGGCTGTCCAGAGGTCCACCGGTGAACCTGCTGTGGCTCCACGCGCTTTTTGTGCCTTGATGTCTCCCACCGTATATCTGTTTCCTTACATGTAGCAAGTCTCTTTCTTGTTTATAGGAGCAGGCCTTTTTTGATAAATTCTTAAGGTGCAAGGGAGTGAAATCTCCATTTGGTAGCTGCACAGTGAATGTGCTTCCAGCTCCCTCAGTCAGTGTGTGTAGAACACTCCCATGTTTGAGAATATATGCTGTATCTTGACTGTCTGCTCCGTGTTTTCATTGTTTAAGTGACTTAAACTCGTATTTGGTGTTCACAGCGTACGGCAGGGAAGGGGCCGCAGGCAGGGAAGGGGCCGCAGGCCGGTCGCTCTGCGGCGCGTTCCCCACTGCCCCTTGGGCCGCGGGGGAGAGGCTGGCAGCGCGCTGCGGCTGTCGCCCCCACTATCTAGCAGACAGGTGGCACCGGCAGGATAGCCCCGGGAGCCCGGGGGCGCTCGGCGCAGACATGCTCAGTGGAGAGCAGACACCCGGGACGGCACGCCCTGCGCTCCCGTGTGGGCCCCGCGTGTGCTGGGCGCCGGGACGCGAAAGCCGGTGAGGAGCCGCGCCCCCGAGGGGCCCCGGCTCAAAAGCCTGTGCGCTGGCGCAGGCTCTGCTGCTCCCACCCAGGGCACCCCACGCCTGCCGTGGCGGTGGCGCTCTTGGTTTGGAAGCAGTGGATTGGACCAAGGTGCTGGGGTCCGCCGCCGGTCAGGGAGTGGCGGCCACGCGTGGCGGAGGTGACCGCTGCCTCTCCCGTGGCAGACCGCGCTGACGGGGACTCAAGACTCTGCGGAGCGCGATGCAGGCTTCTCCGAGAAGGAGGTCCTTCCGACGGGGACACTGCGAAATTCACCGGCGGGGGCGCCCGGGAGTGTGGTGCTGGTGGGGAGAAGCGGTGTCAGAGGAGAGAGGCGGAGAGGGGACCATGGGCTGACTTCAGCGTGCGGCGTCACCCCACGCGGCGGCCAGCACGGCTTTCCCGCCGGCGTGGAGTTCCCGGGCAGTTGATTTGATCTGTCTACCTTCTGCCTGCCTGCCTGCCTGCCTGTCTACCCATTTCCCTAAAACACCGAGGGGGAAAACGAAAGAGAATTACAATAGGAAAAAGCCAAAGAACAAGGATTTTTTAGTTAAATAGGCTTCTGTCTAAATGAATAAATAGCTAAACAGAGGTATTTTTAAGGAGTATTGATGCAGTGTCAGAAAAGGTTTGTGTCTGTGTATGTGATTCTGTGTGTGGTTGTGTATGATTGTGTCTGGTTGTATATGATTCTGTGTGTGGTTGTGTATGATTGTGTGTATGTGATTGTGTGGTTGTGTATGATTGTGTATACATGTGTGTGGTTGTGTATGATTGTGTATGGTTGTATGTAATTGTGTGTGGTTGTATATGATTGTATGTGATTGTGTGTGGCTGTGTATGTGATTGTGTGTGCGGTTGTGTGTGTCTGTGTATGAGTGGTTGTGTATGATTGTATGAATTGTGTGTGTGGTTGTGTGTGGTTGTGTGTGTGATGTTTATGATTGTGTGTATGTGGTTGTGTGGTTGTGTATGGTTGTGTGTCTGTGTATGAGTGTGTGTATGTGACTGTATGATTCTGTGTTTGTGGTTGTGTATGGGTGTGTGTGTGGTAGTTTATGATTGTGTGTGTGTGGTTGTGTGGTTGTGTATGGTTGTGTGTGATGTTTATGATTGTGTGTATGTGGTTGTCTGTATGGTTGTGGGTGTGACTCTGCGTGTGTGTTGATCTCACTGCTGTCTCTCATGCCCCCAGTTGTACACCCCACCTCAGCTGGGTGGCTGGCAGGAGAGTGTGCGGGGTCCCCGCTGGCTGAGTGGCCTCCGGCTGGGCTCTGCGCCCCAGGGGCTCCCGTGAGAGCTCCCTTCTCCATGCGTGGTCTCTGCACTGCGTCCATTCTGGGCCCACCCCGGGCGTGCGCATCCGCATGTGCTCACAAAGAGCTTTCAGTGCAGAGGTGCTCACATGGCTGCCTCCTCCTGGCTGCCAACCACCTGTCAAAGGGCACCACTCCAGGAGAGTGGTGCTCCTGGGCGACTTCCCCAGACTCAGAGGATGGCTGGGTAGATCATTCTGGAAGCAGGCGGCTGTCTCATCACAGCCTGTATGTGTCTGGGGAATGTGTCTGTGTGCGCTTAGTCGCTCAGTCGTGTCCAACTCTTTGTGACCCCATGGACTACAGCCCGCCAGGCTCCTCTGTCCAATGATTCTCCAGGCAAGAATACTGGAATGGGTAGCCATTCCCTTCTCCAGGGGATCTTCCCAACCCAGGGATTGAACCCAGGACTCCTGCATTGCAGGCAGATGCTTTACCGTCTGGGTCACCAGGGAAGCCAAATAGAGACGTTAATTTTTGTATTCTCCTGTATCTCATTAGATTACTTTCCTTTGGTTAATGTGGAATGTTAAAAAAAAATTCAGAAGTTCTCTTTTTTAATTTCTTACATGTCAGTTTATTTTACAGGGATTCCACATGCAGGCTCATTTAAACAATGATTAACTTTGACCAGAAAGTTATTATCAGAAGAACAGTATTAAAATAATTTTATGGTAAATGATTATGGTTAACCAAGCCTCTATCTTGAAAAATCTAAATCTAATTTTATATTGAAAATGGATTTAAGATTACTGTTTCATTGTATTTCTCCTTTGGGGAAACTTGATTTGTCTTTTAGTAAATTTTATGTCTTTGTCATGGCAGATTCACGATTTACAGAGTGAACTTGATAAGGAAAAAGAAGATGCTCAAAAGAAAATCCATAGACTTGAGGAAGCTTTGAAGTGAGTAAAAGTGTAATATCTTTAATTTTTAAAAATACTCTTATTCTAAATTGTGAGCCAAATTAAGTGACTAAAACCCAAGCATTATATTTTTTATCATAATCTTGCTGTGGTTTAGTTTGAGTCAGTTTTCCATCATGAATCTCTATTTTCAGAATTTTATTACTAGCCAATAAATTTTGCTTTTTTTTTAAAAAAAGGAAAAAAATCAATTCAGCTGTTTTTAAGTGATAGGAATGTAAGAAAGAGAGCTTAGTGGTTTCAGATGCTTTCCTCCTCTTAAATGAAAACAGATTAAAAATAACAGTAACAACAATAAGATTTAGATCTTAGGACATTTAGAAATTCCTCTGTAGATTTTTTTGGAGGAATTTGGTAATGATATGTTTCAGCTGTTGTATTTAAAAATGGACTATTATACAGGCATTGTTTAGCAAAGGTTTTGTTTTATGATACCTAAGCATACACATTAAAATATTTTATATATATATTTGTCTTTTCCAATAATTTGCTAAGTTGATGAGGCCTTACTTATCACTAGATATTATCCTGTAGTTTTTCACTGGAAAATATTGATGTATTCAGTAAATGTTGCGCTCTCACCATATTTCATGCAGTGTATAATTCCTTCCTGGAGGACCCGTGTTGCAGTCCATTTGGGAGGATGGTCACGCCCTTGGCCAGGTCCAGTGCAGAGCCTTGAGTGAGGAGGGCTTTCTTGGAAGAAAGGCCAGGAGGGCACTTGGCCCGAGAAGCTGACTTAGGAAGAGAGCTTGCTTGGGTGCAGTGTGTCCAGCTGACTCCCAGGGAATCAGCAAGTTCCATTTTCTGAGCTTTTCCAAATGTCCAAGCAGGAATAATTTAGAGAAAGGCCAAAAAGAACATCTAGGATCACAGAGACCTGGTGTCAGATTCTCCTGGGAGGGTCGCACAGCCATCCCTGCCTGTTAGTGCAGCGAGCCGCGTGGGGACGTCACAGGGTGTCAGCGTCTTTTCTGTACCAGGACTTGACGTCACCACGTGGGAGTCAGACGACCTCAGAGGACTGTAGGGTTCATTACGCATCAGGTCAGGAACCATGCTCATGCGCCAGCTTGAGTGTCGCCACAGCGAGGGCCTCTTGCTTGTGGACGAGATGTCCTCCCTTGATCCCTCGTTAATTCATTGTTTTCCTCCTTAAAACGCTGAGTCACACTTTATCTGTTCAACTTCCCATATTTTCCTTTCTTTTTTGTTCTACTTTGTCTTTTTCTTCTGTGACTGCTTTATACTTTTTCCATTAGTTTGTTGATGTGCATTTATCTTATATCCATAAAGGAAGAGATAATTCCTTCAAATAACAGTAAATCAGCAAATATTTGTTTAGTACCTACAATGTCTATATATTGTAGTATCGTGTGAAAAGAAATGGAAGGTTTAGAAGCTATAGCTCAAGACACAACCCTGTTCTTAACAATTTTCTTGTCTGGCGTGGGCATTTGAGGTCCATAGCATTGTTAAGTATCAAGTTGTTGACATAAATGCAATAGTGCGGTCTTTTCATTTTCACTATGAAAAAACCCGGAAGCCTCCATAGTTTCTATATACAACATAATCTATTTAAGGCTTCAGAAGTGTTTACCAAAATGTAACGTTTTACTTGGAGTTAAAGAAAGCTAGTTTAGATTGTTAATAATGTTCCTGTGGATCTGTGTCTTCCTTTCCCCTTGTAGGAGATGTCTTTATTTCCACTAAATGTATGTGTGACCTTAATGATCTAGCACCTGGTACAGCGGGAGTAATCTGATCTAAAGTAGGAGAGTAGTTTATTATGCAGTTTGCACATGGGAGCAAACAGCACAGCCTGGCTCTTTCCCTGAAGGAGAATATTCTGGGGGCAATCGCTGCTGCTTTTCAATCCAAGAATAGTGTTAGACCCAGTGCGTCCAGAGACAGTTCCATTTTTCTAGAAGAGAGGTGTATGATATGGAAATTTGTCATGATTATTAACAGGTTTTTTTCCATGATAAAAATATACACAAAGGTGAAAAATACGACTTTCAGAATGTGGTGGCATTCATCCATCCATCCGTCCGTCCATTCTTTTACTCAGTAGGGTTGCTTTCCTCCATGCATGTTGAATGTGCAGAAGAGGCTGTCAGAGAGTTGGAGATGGCATGGAAATTAATTGGCTCCTGGAAACGTGACACGTGTGTTCAGCTCAGTCCTGGATTCAGAGCTCAGGTGACGCTTCACCCTCCACTGGTGTGAAGAGCAACAATGGTTTGGAGTTGGCACTTACTGTAAATACAGCTTCTAAAGCTACTTTGCCTACTTGTCTGTGTTTTTTAGAAAAGGAAGTTTAAATATACTCTATTACTTACAACTTTTATTCAACACATATCCTAAACATTTTTTGCTTTCTATTTCATTATTGATGCAGAAGATACTTTATAGCCCCTTGTAACTGAAAGGAATCTGAAACTATAACTGTAAATGGTATGAATTGTATGTGTCCATTTTTCAAAGATAAATAATTAAACCAAATGAGAAACTCAGTAATGAATGGGAAATTACCATAGGTAACAAAATAATTTGGTGTAACTCTTTTAAAGACTAACACAAAGTATGCTTTTTTTTTTTCTTTTTGAAGGAGTTAACATCTATGAAAAACACGTGTAGATGTTTAGTTCAGTTCAGTTGCTCAGTCGTGTCCGACTCTTTGCGACCCCATGAACTGCAGCACGCCAGGCCTCCCTGTCCATCACCAACTCCCGGAGTCCACCCAAACCCATATCCATTGAGTCAGTGATGCCATCCAACCATCTCGTATCCTCTGTCATCCCCTTCTCCTCCTGCCCTCAATCTTTCCCAGCATCAGGGTCTTTTCAAATGAGTCAGCTCTTCACATCAGGTGGCCAAAGTACTGGAGTTTCAGCTTCAGCATCAGTCCTTCCAATGAACACCCAGGACTGATTTCCTTTAGGATGGACTGATTGGATCTCCTCACAGTCCAAGGGACTCTCAAGAGTCTTCTCCAACACCACAGTTTAAAAGCATCAATTCTTTGGCGCTCAGCTTTCTTTATAGTCCAACTCTCACATCCATACATGACCACTGGAAAAACCATAGCCTTAACTAGACGGACCTTTGTTGTTGAAGTAATGTCTCTGCTTTTTAATATGCTGTCTAGGTTGGTCATAACTTTCCTTCCAAGGAGTAAGCATCTTTTAATTTCATGGCTGCAAAGTGAAGTAGATATTTATATGTTTACCAAATTTGATTTCTAAGTTTTGGGTGCTGTAGAAATAATGGAGCATTGTTCTGAGATCTTGTATAAATTGACTATTCTAAAGCAATCTGTGAAACCTTCCAAAGTTGTCCTCTTGATTGATACCTTTTTCAAAGTCCTCTGTGGCAGTAAAATGCAGAACTGTCTCAAAACAGATTTATTCTGATCCATTTTAACTTTTTTTGTGTTGTCAATTGTAATCATAAGTATTTCTACTCTGACACTAATATATCTAAACTTTTGGATTTTTAGTACTGAAAGTGAGTGGTGGTGATTTCCCCAGAACATATTACAAAGTAGGCCTTCAGATGTTTCGGTTATGAATGACCCTACAGGAAGCAAGCCCTTATTCACCTAAACCATTGTTTCCGTCTGTCAGTACGCAGTGCGGGGCACTATGCTTTGGTGCCCACGGATCACAGGGGGCTGTCACAGAGACCCTGGGGGGTTGTTGGTGTGGTTTTCCTGCTTAGCTTAACATGAGATATTCCTGACCTTATTTTATTTACAATAGTGTGAAATAGGTATTTTGCCTCCTACTGAGCAATGCATAGTTGGGTTTCCCGCATTGTTTGTAAAAGTAGAAAGTTTGTAATAGGGGGAAATGCAGTGTTCCGTCCATATTTCAGGAGTTAGGGGAAGAATTACAGGCAACCCAGAAGCAGTCTGCTTGGCCCTCTGAGTCCACGACATCCTTGCAGAGCTTGGCTGCCCCAGGGCCCTGCCTCATCTCCCTGCTCACCTGGCTTCCCTTTGCTGCTTCCTGTCGGCTAGATGTTCAAAGTGCCCCATACTCCTCTTTGAGGGATTTTTTTCTCTGTTCATGTATGCAGAATGAAAATCAATGTTTTCTTCCGGAGGCTGACCCAATAGAATGTCTTTAAAGCTACTCGGCTCTTCCTTTTGGAGAAAATCTGTCTTAGGGATTTAAATACGAAGTTTTATTTTCATCCTGGGATTTCTATCCATAATTTTTTTCTTTTTATAATGCCACTGATAATTTGTAGGGCCGATTCCACTTACATAATGGTGAAGGCAGGAAAATAAATGAGTAATTTTTTTAGTGGTTACTTCAGCAAGTGATTATTTCCTGTGTTTATAATACAGACAGAGATATAGTGAACTTATTACAAGAAACAGCAAATATCTATATTTCTAAAACAGACTGAAATGGCTTACAGTATAAATAGAAATTAACATATGATTGAAATAAAGTGTAATGTAAGCATGTAAAGTAGGATGGATATGAAATGAAATGAAATTGTTTCTGTATTGAAGTTCTAAGTTCACCCTGACCGAACTGTCTCCCGCGGTTCGGGGAGGCACGTGAGCTCCGTGCGGGAGCGTGGACCCAGGCTCCAGCTCAGGTCGCCAGCCTGCGCAGCTGGGCCTGGGGCTCCGTCTGTGTGGCCAGTTTTACCTCCATCGAATGGCCTTGCTCCGAAGGCTGTGGGGAGGCTTGGGGCAGTTCCGCAGGGCGCCTCCAGCAGCGTCCGCTCTGGCAGCTCTCACCGCTTTCTCTCTCTGTATCTTACGGACGGGACAGACAGATTTGTCAGGTGATCTTACCCTGGCACGTTTTTTTTAACAGCTTTATTGAAGTCTAAATCTCACCCCATAGAATATACTTAGTTTCACTGTATAGCTCACTGACGTTTAGAAATTCAGAGTTGTGCAACAATAACCATAGTTCAGTTTTAGGACATTCTCATCATCCCCAAAAGACTCC